CGCCCGGCCCCCTCCCGCCGCGGACGCAGCGAGTTTCCTTCGGGCCGCGGCGCGGTCCGGCGCCTCAGCCCTCGCGGGCCCTCTCAGCACCTGGGAGGAGGCTCATGCCCGCCCCAAGGCCGCGCCGCCTCGGCCGGAGTTCCGGGCCTCTTCCTCCGGGTCTTTCCGCCGGTCAGCTCCGCGCCGCGCTCCGGAGGCCGTCGCGCGCGGTGCAGCCCCTTCTCTCAGGCGCCCGGGAGCAAATCCAGACCCTAAGCCGCGCGGATACCGGTGCCTAGTGGCGCGACAGAAATTGTACCCCGCGCTCAACTTGTCGGCTCAGCCCGCGAGCGCCAGCGGTCGGCTCATGAATATTTATACACCTGGATCTGGGCTCCGCCCCCACCCAGGCGCGCCAATCACCGGGCTACCAACTCATGAATATTTATATAGCCTGGACCAGGGCTCCGTCCCCGTCCGGGAGCGCCAATCACCGGCGGCGGGGCGGAGCCCACGCGCCCAGGGCGCTGCTGTCCTTAAGGAAGTCCTCGGCGTCCGCGCGGCCCTGCGCGCCTTCTGCTCTGGGGAGTTCGGTAACCTTGGGATTGACTGGGAGACAGTGAGCCCCGACTGTCCCCACGAGCCTCAGGGCTCCCGAAATCTGGTCCCATTTCCCCGAGTCTGCACTCGGGGACTAGACCGGGGTTGTATCGTAGAGCGCGCCTCACCCCGGTTTCAAAGAAGCCAAGACTCTGCCTTCTGCTCGCCACGAGTGGGGCGACCTGCTGGCGGGCGCCCGAGGCCGGGAGGGGTCCCAGGCGGACTCAGAACGCCGGGAGGCGGGTCCAGGGCGGCCGGCGGGGGTTCCGGAAAGGGAGGGGTCCCTGGCAGTCTTGGAAAGCAGCAGGCCAGGCGTGGGGCTCCGGGCGTTCCTTCTGGGCTCGCTGTTGACCTGGGGAGCCCCAGTTTCCTTACCTAGAAAGTGGAGTGATCACATCACACGGTTCATGAGGCTCTGGATAAGTGGGGGAGATAAAATATATAATGCATCTGGACCCAGTGCTTCCTTTTAGAAGAGCTTTCCATACTTCCTTTAAAAACAAAACGAAAACTTATAAAAAGGACTGGAAACCACCCCAGGACTCTGTTCGCTCCGCACTTTCAGGCTCAATCATCTGTCCAAAGTTCCTTGTTGGCCAGAGCCTCCTTTTCTCCTGGGAGGCCGCGCTGCGCCGGGGTGCAAGGACACGTCCCCGAGGTGGCCCCAGTCATGCGCGTCCCCGAGGTGGCCACGGCCTTGCGCGTCCCCTGGTCTCCCTAGCCCTGCGCAGCCCGGCGTCCTCCCGGAGAAGGAGGGGGTTGTGAGGCCCGGCGGCCTGGCAGGTTCATTTACGCTTGTTAGGACATCCCAGGGGGTTGTCTTTCTCCCAGAACGGAGTGTTTATTTTTTAATTGATGTGCTGTTTCATTTAGCGCTTGTATGGATCTCATGCTGGGGCTGTAATTACTGTAATCTCGGGAACAAGCATTTCAGTGAGCCAGGAGGGTGGCACCAGCCTCCTCCCTCTCCCGCGCTCTCTCTCCTCCCTCCTCGCTCCCTTTCCCCCTCTCTCCCGCACACTCACAATTTCTCTCTCCCCCTCTCTTTCTCTCTTTCCCCCTCCCTCTCTCTCTACTTTCTCTGTTCTACCCCCTCCGCCCTTCTTCCTTTCACTCTCACTTGTCTCTTTTTGTTTCATGATTTTTGCTCTCCGTCACGTTTCATGCCAGGAACAAGTAGAAGTAAAGAACAGAAGTTGCTAAGGGCGTGAGGACAGAGAGGTCAATTCAGGGTTTTTGTTAGTTGGCGACTATCTGTTTAAAAACAACTCTTGCAGCAAAACAAAATTAGCCAGCAACATTTGTTCGTCGCCGGAGCTGTTGGGATCTGTCTGCCTCCTTCTGCTCTCTCCAGCTCGGTGGAGCAGCCTCATTCTGAGGCACACTGCAGGCAGAAGGGCAGAAACACCCTCACTCGAGTTTTTGGCAAGTTTCGTGTTTTCGCCCTTCTAGGCATAGCCCCCAGGTTATAGTTACACCTACCATCGCGTCTTTTTTTTTTTTTTTTTAGTTTGGTTAGGACCTCTTTAAAAGCAACACGTCTTCTTTTGTTTTGGAAAAACTTAACTCCATAACAATCCGAAATTCAAAGCTTCAGAAATAGTAGCCAAATCAGCACAAAACATTAGGAAATGCAGACTCGGCCTTGACTTTTTAAAAAATTGATCTTCCTCTATGTTGGAATTCCCATTTGTGGTGTGTTGAATGTAGCCAGTCACCTATCTCTTCAGAGGGAACTTTGCTCTGCTGGGCTAATTCCCAGACCACTCAGCTGCACCTGGGAGTCAGAGGTCCGTGCACAGTACCCAGACGCAGGCAGAGTCCCCCAGGCGACATACACCCTCCCCCATTGCTCAGACGGGAGACCACTAGGGGCGGAGCTCGTTTCCAAAAGCAACACAGGCGGCCAAAGTTTCTACTGCTGGTCTTGGGCAGGGAAATGTCAAACAGTGAAGTTTAGAATTACACTATGTAAATTTACTAGAATTAGGCAAAACAAGCTGACATTTGAAAATTGATGCTGAAAATAGTTGATTTTGGCACTGTGGTTTTTTTTTTTCTTTTGAGACAAGATGAAAAGTTTGATGATGTGGAACTTGGAAAGTTTTGGTAAGCTCGCTTGAAAAAATAAGCACACAAAAAGTTCAGACCTGCAAATATCAGGCTATTTAGAAGACATTACTGACTTGTGATATTAAAACTACTTATATAAAATCATGAGGAACTTACGTTTAATTGAGAAATATAGCAAACACGTTTTAGATTTACTATTAAATTAGACAAATTTATTTGACAGTCAGAGAAAAGAGAGAATTATAAAATCAATCAGTGTATAAAAGTCAACAATAGGTCAGTTAGAAGAAGCCATACCATTAATCTATGTTGCCAACTAAATAATGACATTTTCTTTGTATTTAGCAAAGTAGTTATATTTTAGGGGAGAAGAAATAGCTCTTAGTGACAGAAATAACAAAAGAAAGCTAATGGGATTTCTGAAGAACTGTCTTGTTACTGAATGGCGTACAAGAATAATACTGCTTGTGCTAGTCAGCTTTCCAATACTATTATAGCAAATATACGAGATAATTAATTTATAAAGAGTAAAGGTTGATTTTGGCTCACAGGCTTAGAGTTCCTGGCCACACTGGTTGGTCTCATTGCTTCTGTTCCTGGGGCCAGGCAGCTTACTATAGTGGGGTGCATAGTAGAGCAAAGCTTCTTCCCTCATTGCTAGAACACAAATAAGAGAAATGGCTGGGGTCCCCAATGACCTAAATTCCTTCCACTAGGCTCCACCTCTTAAAGTTTCCACTACCTCCAGATAGCATCACAGAATGGGGGCCAAACTTTAAACAGATCTCTGGGGAATGTTGTGGATCCAAATTACAATGAAGTTGAAGGCATGGATCTATGTTAGAGAAAGCAAGGTTTTACTAGATGCTGAGTACCAAGTTAGATAGGAGACTATCCATATAACAGCTGTCTGAAATTTTAAAAATATTGAGAGAATTATGTTTTAGTGGATTATATTTAAAACTCAACCTAAGAATCTTGATACAAGAGGCCCTAATGTATAGCAATCAAATGATACGTTTCAAAAATGACATGGAGAACTATTTGTAACTCATGAAATGTCTCAGTGTTCTATCAAGCACCAATTATTTCTTCTAAAAGCTTGTTTTTCTTTCAGGGAAATATTGCAACACTATGTTATAGAGTGCATAAAACTCTATCAGGTGATATTGGGGTATCTTGGCATTTTAAAAATCTGTCTTTCAAAGGATTATGTCCATCTATGGAAGGAGATTTAGCCATTAACTTGTCTTACTTCAATCTCTACTAGTGCTATAGTCTGGATCTGGAATATCCCCAAACAGCCCATGTGTTGAAAGTTTGGTTGACAGCCATAATACTACTGGAAGGTGCTGGAACCTTGAGGATGTGGGAATGGTGGAAGGATGTTAGGTCACTGGGGACATGCCCTGGAACTAGAGAGTGGACCCTTAGCTCTTCCTCTTCCTCTGTCTGTGCTTTCTGGCTGTGATAGGGTGAGCAGCTTTTCTTTAATGCACACTCTCTCCCGTGATGTGCTGCCTTAGCACAGGCCCAAAACAACAGAGCCAGATGATCATGGACTAGAACCTCTGAAACTGTAAATCAAAGTAAATGTTTCTTCTTTTAAACTTTATTGTCTCTGATATTTGTTATAGTAATGGGAAGCTACCAATGGTTGAGATTATTTTTATTCTTCCATATTAACAATAAGCTCTATTAAAGATCTTCTTCCTCTTCTTTCTTGGCCATGTAAAGAAGGATCCAATAGGAGGAAAGTATATTGCTTTGCCTGCTGTCACAAGGCCAGAAGGCAAATGGGTGGAGATAACTGAGGTACCATGTGCCACTGGTTTGGCATCAGATACTCAGTTATAGCAGCTGCCATTTTGGAAAATAGAATCTGCACATTGTCACCATGTAACTTTATCCTAAAATGTGTTCTAAAAACCAAGAATTGATTTGTTTTTTCATTTGCATTGGAATATTGACAAGATGTTGATGCTTTTAGGGATGCATCATGCATTAGTTGGGAGATCTGGAGTGCAATAAAGACCTTCAAGTAAAACTGGCTTAGCCAGGAGGAAACCTAATGTTTCATGAAAACTAGAAGCAAAAAAATTCACCATTGGTTCCTTTTGCCACTCACAGGTCAGCTTGCAGGCCCTTGCTTCCCCTGTGGGCACATGAATCCTTCTGTCATGGATCCACCCTGTGCTGAGGAACAGCAGCCAATGAAGGAGGAGAGATATCTTGCCCCAGGAGGTTCCCACCCCTGTGAGAAAGACCTCCCCTGAAGGCCCTTAATTAATTGCCCCTCGGGGCACATTGGCCTGAATCTCCCCTGTGAACTTCCTGTGAGGCTAAGGTGCAGATCTGGTGGGTAGCTTGTGATATGGGGCTTTGGTGTCAAGGAAGGGGACAAGGGAATGACCCACAGTGTTGGCTATACTATTACCATATGAAAGA